ATTCCTGGTCCTGTCTTCACCCTGTTCTCATTTAAAGATGCAGGAACCAATGCATTTCTTTACTAAGTGAATATTGATTTTCTTTTTTCTCATTAATACCTGTTCTGTGCCAGGCTCTGCCTGGAACAAGGCCTGCATCCGGCTGCACATGCACCAAACTAGCATTCTGAAATTGTTTTAATTACTTAAATAAAATTAACATAATGAACCGTAAGAGCAGAAAGAAAGGGGGGGGCAGTGAACAAACTATGTTCTATGTTTAGAACTAACTGGTTTATGAAATACAAGAAATATTCAAGCAATATAAGTGGTTAGTAAATTGCACTGGCTGCTTTTTTTAAGCCTTGAGGCCTCTTCTGTATTGATAAATTATTTTTTTCAGCTCCCAATCAGTTCCCTGATTCCATCTGAACCAATCACTGAATTCAACTATTCAGCTGAATAAGCTGAAATGAAGCAAAAACTCACTTTTCACTTGCAGAAGAGGCACTTGGGATCAAAACCTGGTTTAAGCACTGAAATAAACTGCTTCTAGATGCTTATCCAGTCATATTTCCTAGCTAAGTATGAGAATTTTTCTTACAAGCTGTATCAGCTAACATGTACTGTTTGACTATTTTTAATATCTTATTTTGTATATTTGAACAGATCAGAGTAACTTTAGACCTAACATAGTTTGTGATTATTTCATGTTTAATTTGAGATAGTTTTTAAAGGAAAATGCAACTAATATAAATTTAAAATATCCAACTGGGAAAAAAAAAAAACACAAACCCAAACAACCCAGGCTCCAAACTTCTTCTTCCTAGGCCATGGACTGCTTTGACTTGGTGAGGCAACAAATCCCATGGGGACAGGGAGAGAAAGTTTTTGGCATGTTAAATTGTGAATGTAAGAGACAATGTCTACGGTGCACCAGTTCACCCCAGCAGCACTCGCTCTTCTCAGTCTGATTCAACCACATACATAATTGTTAGCTGCATCTCCTGGGCCTGCGAGTAACCTTGGATGCAGCATCTACTACTACGAGCCCCACACCATCAAGCGTGAACTATGTCGGAGTTCCCTTGAGCCCTGGCTTACCAGAGGTCCCAGCTCCCAAGAGCTGCCCATGGCATGACATTTGAAGGTGCTGTAAGGAGATTCAGCAGGGAAATCCCTCCCTTCTGTCCGCACTTCCAGAGATACTAGATGGCATTTCAAAGGGCTGATACCCTCTCCCTCCGATGGGGACACTGTATGTATAGAAGAACTGGCTAGGATCTCTCCACCAGGAGAAGGGAGTCCAAAGACTGGGATGACACAAGGTAAGAAACAATCAGGGTGAGGTCAGTGCCTCAGAAAGAAGGAGGAGAGAGAACCAAAACCAGTGGAAAGGAAAAGGAGGAAAAAAGCTAAAAGAGTGGGAGACAAACTGAGTCTTGAGTCAAGGGGAAAGCCAAAATAAAGTCACAGAGCAGGAAGGCCAGGGCAGAATCAGAGACAAAGCAACAAATATACAGACACAACTGAGGAGAAAGAAGATGCAGATAAGCAAGAAGCACAGCCTAGGCCTGACGGGTTCTTGTCATCAGCAGGAGTTTCTGAAGATTGGAGGGCACTTAAAGACCGAGTCTAGAAGGTCTCGCTGCTCTCCTTCCTTACATATCCTGGACCATAAGCTAATAAAGTACTTTCTGCCATCATAACCTCACTGTGTGGCCCATTCCTGCCTCCTTCACCATCACACTGTGCCCAAGTTAGTGCCACCTCCATGACAGCAGAAGATACACCAGAATGACCATCTCATAGCTGATCCATAGCTGAGCTAAGCTACTACAACCACAGACATCAGGTCTAGCTGCCTTGTGGATTACACAGCTGGATAGAAAAGACTGGTCCTGGCAAGAGATACTGGTGTCTGGTCAGAAAGGGTTTCCCCCTCTAAACTGTTCTGCTGGAAGCCTTGGTGCTTGGAATAGTATAGCTGTTCACAGCCTCATTACATGAGAAGGATCAAATAACCTGTACTGAACAAATTCTACATTTGGTTCTCAAAATTCCCCAACGGTATGGAGCCTCATATGTATTACCTCTTTTCATTTGCTACTCCATGCTCTTGCCACACACTTAAATGGCATTTGGCAGTTTCTGGGGATTCTTTTGAGAGGAAACAGTCAACAGCTGAGAAACAGTTCCTTCTCTGTCATGTAGCTGGGAGACAGACATACCAAGTACCCACTAAAGCCAGAGGTGAAAGAGGTGTCCACATATATCATAAGAACAGGTTGGTTTGCACTCCGCCCCC